AAGATGTGAAAGTCATTAAAAAGAGAGAAAAGAGAAACTAAAAATCGTTAGATAGAGAATATTAGATTGTTTAATTAGGGAGAAAAGAGAAACTAAAAACAGTTAGATAGAGAATATTAAATTGTTTAATTAGATACGAATTTTGAACATAATTAACAAACAATGGTAGATTTGGTAGATAAGATAAGATAGTTGAAGTAATTCTATTGATTCTTATCAGAATTAAGCATTCAACTAGGATTCTTGTACTGAAAAAAATACACACAAATTCAACACTGTTTAACAAGTTCAGCAGATAGATTTTCATTTATTAAACGCTCAAAATATCTGAATGTCTGAAAAGGTTCAATTTCAGCACTTTTTTATATTATCAAACAGGCCCTAAATCGTGCCTAAGTCAATAAACTTTTTGTCACTCCCATGAGACGTTTTGCTCTCTGTGGGCCTTTTCCTTGCTAGTGCAGGCAGCTCTCTTCCCTAGTTTCTAGTGGAAGTTCAACACTTTTCGTCCCTGTTTTGACCTCCCCAAATAACTCTTCTATTCTATTTTCAATCAGTTTGCATTCCAGCTTCCACTCAATTGGGTTCCCGTTTGTCATATTTTCCGTGAATAAATTTTTCTCTGTTCTGGTTTTATTTTTTCAAAGAGTAAAAACTGTCACTTCCTTTGGGTCATGCAGGTTTGCAGAACGTGATTCATTCAGCAGTCTTGTGCCTTTTGTGCTCCTTTCGAGACTGTATCATTTGTCCCGGCTTCCATGGCTGAAGAACTGGAAAGAATGTGTGAAAAATTGCGTCTTCGTGATGATGAAGAAGAAGTAAATTTATTGCCGGGCGATTCGGACGATATTGCAGATTCTTTAAGCGAGTTGTGCATCTTAGGCAAACTTTTTACCAGAAAGCAATTCAATGGTGAAGCACTGATGGCTACGATGAAGAAGGTTTGGAACCCATCCAAGGGTCTCACCCACACTTCATTAGGAGATAACCTTTTCCTTTTTAAATTTAATGACATGCTTGATAAGAAAAAATTTTCTCTGGTGGCCCATGGTGTTTTGATGATAATCTACTGGTCATCAGTGATTATATAGGCAACGTCCAGCCAACCAACATTAAGCTTGACACCTGCTCCTTTTGTGTGCGTGTATATAATCTTCCATTGAGTTGGATGAATGCCAAAACAGCATAATACCTTGGCAATAAGTTAGGGGTCTATGAAGGCTTTGAATCAAAAGGTGACTTGTTTGCCTGGGGAAAATTCCTTCGTATCCGTGTGCAGATTCACCTTGAATCTCCTCTTAAGCGAGTAATGCATCTGTTCATTGAAGGCAAGGTGCATAAGGTGCTTTTTCAATATGAAAGGCTTCCTATATTATGCTTTTACTGTGGAAGGATTGGCCATGGCGAGCGGGATTGTGAATTGAAGCTTGATGCAGCAACCTATGAAATTGGTGATCCGTAATATGGAGGATGGCTTCGAGCTAAGTCGGAGAAATCACTTTCCAGCCAACAACGTTCACGGCTAGCTGCAACAGTAAGCGATAATGAGATTCGTGTGCCACAAGGAACGGATAAGGGAAAGAGATCAACTGCACCCGCATCACCTGACTGTCTTGAATTTTCAAAGTCTGATCATGCCCAATCTGCAACTTTGGATAATGATCTGGAGAGACATCAAGTCCTAATCAAAGGTAAATCTTCTGCCTCTACCTCTAATAATTCGGATCCTCTCCAATCCAAATCAAGGAGTACAGCAGCTCCATGGACAACCAACAACTCCTCTGCTTTTCCAACCCAGCCCACTGATGACTCTTTTCGCCTCCCCGTTACTCCACACAATAAACCAAGACCATCTGCCCCTTCGGATAACGTCATACCAGTTCAAACCAACACCCGAAACAAAGCACCTAAAGTTTCTTTCACACTGATAGTCCAACCAGAAAACTAAATAATTCAGGACAAATTCTCTGCTTTTCTAACTACCTCAAGCCAATTGCCAAATTTGACTCTCAGTAACCAATTACAAGCTATTATCCCAATTATATCCCCAATAATTTCTGACCCCATTCCCTCCTCATTTGAGCCACATATTCATACAACATCCAATAACCCTACCTCTACTCTTGCGCATACCTCAAGCCAATTGCCAAATTTGACTCAACCTCAACCCAGGAGTAACCAATTACAAGCTATTGTCCCTATTACATCCCCAATAATTTCTGACCCCTTTCCCTCCTCATTTGAGCCACCTATTCATACAACATCCAATAACCCCACATCCACTCTTGCGCATACCCAGCTATCTGAAAACATAAATCCCAATTTCCCTATCCCTAATCCAACCCTCCCAACTACTTTCCCAGCTTTTCCTAGCAAACTCCTACAACATACCCAAACTTCAGACCGCTTCCCTACTCTTCTCAAAGCATCAGAACTTTTCCTAGTTGATGCACCCCTGGCAGAACAAAAAACACATTCGGATATCCATAAACTCCGAGCTATGGCTAGTACCTTCAAGCGGAGAAAGAGCACTGGCAGTCCCAAATCAAGTTTGATGTCGTCTACGGCTCAATCTTCTCATAAAAGGTTATTAGGCAGCAAGGTGAAACGTCCTGGTAATTTTTCCCTCTCTGATGATGTTGATATGGAGGACGTTTCTCTTTCCAAGAAATCTAAGACAGCTGGTTCATCCGCATCACGCGGTATATCAATGGCGGAGGCTGGTCACCAGTCCGGCCAAAAACCATGAGTCTTTTAAGTTGGAATTGTCGGGAGTTGAAAAACCTCCGCACAGTTCATGAACTCCGGAGTCTTATCCAGAGGGAAAGACTTTCAATTATTTTTTTGATAGAAACTAAGTGTTCTAGTAGATTTGTGGAGAAATTGAAGCAGCAAATTGGATGGTTTGGTATTGGTGTGGATGCGCAGGGCACTTCTGATGGGTTAGCTCTCCTGTGGGAAAAAGATCTTGACATATCATTGAACCGCTTTGCAAGTAATTTTATTGATGCTAAGGTTCATATGCCAAATTACACATGGCGATTCACTGGCTTCTATGGACATCCTGATGCTTCAAAGCGAAAATATTCCTGGGATTCTCTCCGACAACTAAGCACACAATCTCAGCTCCCCTGGCTTTGTATTGGTGATTATAATGAGGTCCTTAGCCAAACCGAATTTCAAGGTTCTGGTCCACGAAATAATTGGCAAATCATGAATTTTCATCAGGCCTTGATGGATAGTAATCTGCATGATGTGGGCTATGAAGGTTTCACTTATACATGGTGCCATAGTCGGACATATCCAAATACAATTAGAGCGAGACTTGATCGCGCTTGTGCAACTCAAGATTTTGTGGACTTATTCCCTAATTCAAAACTCAAGCATGTGCACTCTATATTCTCTGATCATTTGCCTCTAGTTTTTAGCTTTGAGAATTTCACTAAATTTTCAAAGACTAAAAATGAGACGAAGAGATCTAAACGTTTTATGTTCGAAGCCATGTGGATAAAGGCGGATGATTGTGAAAACGTAATTCGACAATCTTGGAAAAGTGCATCTGCGGATAATGCTTGTATTAATTTGTTAAAGAAAACTGATGAATGTCGAATGGGTCTTTTACAATGGAGCAAATCAAAATTTGGTAATGTTGGTTCTGCAGCAGATGACCTAAGGAAGAAGATTGCTAAGCTGCAGCAAGGGATTCTCTCTGATGCTGTTAAGTCTCATATTGGGACTTTAACAAGCCAATTAGAGGACATTTTGGATCAGGAAAATACTATGTGGAGGCAAAGGAGTAAAACTCACTGGTATCGAGAGGGGGATCAGAATACAGCTTTCTTCCATGCACAAGCATCCAAGCGACGGAAGCAAAATCAGATAAATGGCCTTTTTAACGATGCGGGGCAGTGGTGCAACTCCCATGATGATCTGGAGAACATTATCTTAGACCATTTTGGTGCCATTTTTTCCAGTTCAAAGCCATCTCCTGAGATAATTGATGCGGTTTTGCAAAGGGTGCAACCTAAGGTATCTAAACGAATGAATGATTCACTGATGCGAACTTACTCAGCTTTTGAGGTAACACAAGCTTTAAATCAAATGCATCCTTTTAAATCTCCCGGTCCTGATAGCATGTCCCCAATATTTTATCAGAAATTTTGGCATGTTGTTAGTCAGGATGTAGTGAAATGTGTTCTTGAATTCCTGAACAATGGGCATTTTGATGATCAATTGAATTTCACTTACATTGTGCTTATCCCAAAATGCCAGTGTCCATCCAATATAACTCAATTTCGTCCAATTAGTTTATGTAATGTAGTTTATAGATTAGCTTCTCAGGTTATAGCTAATAGATTAAATAAAGTTCTTTCAATAATTCTCTCGCCCTTTCAGTCTGCTTTTATTCTTGGTCGACTCATTACAGATAATATCCTGATCGCTTACGAAGTTAACCACTCTCTTAAATCGAAGTCTGCAGGCAAAGAGGGATCCATGTCCATTAAATTGGACATGAGTAAAGCATTTGATAGGGTTGATTGGCTTTTTCTTAAAGGAATGATGTTGGCTTTAGGTTTTCACCCATCTTTTGTTGATCTTATTTCTAGTTGTTTCTCTACTGTTTCGTATTCTTTTCAGCTAAATGGTGTTCAATTTGGTTATCTGCAACCACAGCAAGGCATTAGACAAGGCGATCCAATTTCTCCGTATTTATTTCTTATATGTGCAGAGGCTTTTTCCTGTCTATTGCAAGAAGTAGAGGCTTGTGGTAAACTGTCAAGAGTTCGAGTGGGTCAGAGTGGCCCCAAGCTTTCTCATTTATTATTTTCAGATGATACTCTGTTATTTGGCAAAGCTACCCTACAAGAAGCTCGACATATTCAGGATATCTTGCAACTATATAAGGAAGCTTCTGGGCAAGAGATCAATCTTGAGAAATCAGCTGTGGTTTTCAGTGGTAACACAGATTTCTCAACCTGACAAGACATCACTCAGTTCCTGAATATTAAAGAAGTGGTTGCACATGAAAAATATCTTGGTCTTCCCACCGTTATTGGTCACTCCAAATGTGAGGTATTCTCTTCTATCAAGGATAGAATTTGGCAACGAATTCAAGGATGGAATGAACAACGGTTATCGAAAGGGGGAGCGGAAGTTTTGCTAAAAGCAATGGTTCAGGCAATTCCTACATATTCGATGTCTTATTTCAAATTTCCAGATTCTTTGCTAATGGATATCCAATCAATGATGAGCAATTTTTGGTGGGGTGATGGAAATAAGGCTAGACCAATTCACTGGGTTAGTTGGGATAAACTTTGCAGCCGAAAAGAAGATGGAGGAATGGGTTTTAGGCAGCTTAAGACTTTTAATCTTGCATTGTTATCTAAGCAAGCGTGGCGTATTGCTACACAACCATCTAGCCTCCTTCATCAGGTATATAAAGCCAAATATTTTCCCAATACTGATTTCTTCCAAGCTCAAGAAGGATCACGGCCTTCCTGGTCTTGGAGCGGACTATGTGAGGTCAGGAAGTATATAGAAGCAGGAAGTAGATGGCGAGTTGGTTCTGGCCAGTCTATCAAAATCTGGAAAGATAGGTGGCTTCCACGGCCATCTACTTTTAAAATCGTGTCGCGGTCTACTGCATTGCCGGAGAACTCCACAGTTGATTGCCTGATAGATTACAAGCGAAAGACTTGGGACTTGGGAGTTGACTTATTGCAGGAAATTTTTTGGCCTGAGGATATTGAATTAATTCAAAGCATTCCAATTGGAGAAACTCATAATAGGGATAAGCTAATCTGTCACTTTTCAAAGAATGGATATTTTACTGTGAAGAGTGCGTATCACTTGATCAAGCAGCTATCTTCTAATTGGGAGAATTTGCCATCAAGTAGTAGTACTCTAAAGCAAAATGTTTGGTCTCGGCTTTGGCACTTGAATCTTCCGGAGAAAATTAAAATTTTCTTATGGAGGGCATGTAAAGATATACTGCCAACCAGCACAAAACTCAATATTAAAGGGCTCCATTTAGATACCTCTTGCCCTTTATGCCTCGCTCCAGTTGATGATATTGATCATACTTTCTTAACTTGTCCTGTAGTCGTGCAATCGTGGGTGCTTAGTTTCTTAAGCCAGAAGGTTCAACTGCAATCGACTGATCATCTGACATCCTGACTTCCCAACCAGCTTTTGCAACTATCAAGCAAAGAGATGGAATTGATGGGTGTTATTCTTTGGAATTTATGGAATAATCGGAATGGAGCAATCTTTGATGGGCCCTATAGAGATCCGCTTAGCTTGGTCTCCCTGTCCATGGCATTCCTGAATCAATTCTATGAAGCAAATTCCAAAGATAAGTGCAATATGCCTACCTCTCTTCAATCACGGTTATCAATAGGTCATTGGATACGACCCAATGCAGGTTTTGTTAAGGCAAACTTTGATGGAGCTGTGTTTATGGATGATAAATCATCAGGGGTTGGTGTTATTATCCGAGATGATAAAGGAAGTTTTATTGCTGGCCTCTCCAAGAAAATTCCTGGGATATTGGAACCAGAAGTGGTTGAATCATATGCGGCCAAACATGCTACTCAATTACTAAAATCTTTGGGTTTCAATAAGATTGTTTTGGAAGGAGACTCACAAAAGGTCATCAAAATGCTGGACCGTTTGGAATCTGACGATTCATCATGTGGCTTGTTGATTGATGATACCATTGTCTTATGTCAAGATTTCATGTGCTGGGAAGTTTCATGGATTTCTAGGTCGTTTAATATTCCTGCTCATAACCTTGCTAAGTATGCTGTTAATCTTTCAGATTCTTGTTTATGGAGAGACTCTCCTCCTTCTTTTATTTGTTCTACACTTGTTGCAGATTCGATCTCATGATTAATAAATTATTCTATTTTATTATCAAAAAAACAGGCCCTAAATCAACGTGAGAACATTTACCTAAAGATGCCATATTGAAGTGAAACTAATCTTTATTGTCCAAAACTTGGGTAAACCTGATTTTTAAATATCCAATAGTCCAGATTGTGACATACCAGTTGGTGAGATGACGTGGTATAAATAAATTATTGGATTTTTGAAGACTGAATATACCCAAGTGTTAACCTTATATATAAATGAATTTGAATTTATGCAATATGTAAAACAAGAGTCAGTATAAACAAGGAAGACACTAAATTCATACCTCTCCATCTTAAATTCATGCTTGGTACAATCTCTAGTACTTATGGCACAAGTTATCGATACTTATAATGCAAGTCTTTAATGCAGCAGGAGTGTGGATTTAAATTGTTAGGGTGCCAATCTAACAAATTCCTTAAAATAAAGTTCTACATAACATGCCTATTGACCGAATGGTAATGAGCTCGATTCTTCTCAAGTAAGGTTTGTGCTTGGTACGATCTCTAATACTTATGGCGCAAGTCATCGATATTTATGATACAAGTCTTTAACGCAGTAAGAGTGTGGATTTAGGTTGATAGGTACGATCTCAGATTCTCACCCTTTTGTCTATCTTCTAGTTTTCTTTTTTCTATTTGCAGTCGTTTTGATTATAGCTCCATTATCGCCTCTCTTTACAACAAGAGACGTACAAATATAGTGGGAAGATGTGGAAAGTCTTGCTTTATTAATAATTGTGGCGGCCTTTTTTTATTTTTCTGTCATTCATCGAGTGAGTTGTCGAGCGGTCCTGCATTCACGCAATTGTCAATTAAGTGGAACAAATGGTGTTCTAAATTCATGCAATTATAGAACAAATGGTGTAAAACATTTATAGGGTGTACTGTATGGTTCTTTGTCAGAACTGCACTTGTATGAAAGTGGCAATCTTGTTGGATACAAATGTATCTTTACTTAGACGGGAAGCAATTCTGATTTGAGTCGACTAGAGAAGCAAAGACAACACCTTTACAAAGAGTTCTCCCTTGGCTAAATACTAGTACTAATTGTAGTAGGCCCGCAGAAAAATAATCAATATAAGACTCGAGGGGTGAACCTTAACCAAGTTATTTCTTGTTTAGAACCGTGTACAAAAATTCAAGAACACAAAAATGACTTACAAAGTCCTTTATGCAGATGCCACAAACGATGAGATAAAAGGCTTTGCTAATAAGAAAAATTACAAATCCGGAGAAGCAAATTGAATTCCCATACCATTGTTTACAAAATTCAAGGCATTCGAATTGGAGAAGCAAAAAAATAAAATTTGAAAAAAAAAAATGTGTCAACCTGTTTATAAAAGCTGTAGAAATCTAAGCTGACATCCAACGGGTGGGTACTTGGGAAAAGACTATCCCAAGTAGCAGGAGAATCTTCGTTAATGCCAAAATTTGTTTTACGTTTTCTTGCTCCATTAGTATTGTAGACTTTTAAAGAAAGCAAAGCACTACTATCAATCAAAATTTGTTCTTGCAATGAAACGAATATGCATGGAAGGAAAGCCATAATTTGAGCTTTATAGGTAAATGACAAATCCTATAAGAAACAAAAATAATCAATCAAGAATTCAAGGAGAAATACAAATAAAGGCACCGGCAAAGATTCTTTCAAGAAACACCTTATCAATGCAACTAGAAATAGTTCTTTAACGATGTTAAGATCAACACTGGCCTGTATGTTACTCCATTCCACTTTTGCAGGCGTGCCACAATGAGAAATGACTAGAAAGTAAGCCTTTAGCCACAGATTAATACCCATAGGAAAGAGGAGAAGTGTTGAGGTAATAAGATAAAAGAACTGCAGGGATATGATGAAAATTTGTAACAGGAGGGAAAGGAAGAATGCAGCTGTACATACACACGGGAGGGTAGGATTAGACAGAACACTTTCTATTACTACTAACCATACTAGCACAGGAGCTGCGTTAGTCAATCATTCTTCTCCAATTACTTCCGTTTTATTGATCTTAGGCTTAGCTGATCCTGTTTTATCTAGCAACACTATTTCCTTTCCACTCTTTAGCAGGACAATCCTATCTCCAGTGAACAACAAAAGGTAATTATTTGAAACCCAGTCCGCGCCTAACACCATGTCACATGCTCTTATTTCCACGATTCTCATATCAGTTACGAACTCATGACCTTGCACGGTCCACCTGAGGCTTGGACATCTGAATCTGCTGACTGCTCGGTATCCACCAAATACAAAATTCACAAGCAGCGGTGTAGTCTCCTCCATCTCAAGCCCTGCCTGAATTGCTACATCAGCGTCGATGAAGCTACAAGAAACGCCAGTAGATAATATAACTGTTGTGTCCCTTTCTCCTACTAAAACTTTAAACATAGAACCGTGGCCATGATTAATGAAATCATCAACTAATTCACAAGGCAAGTTTTGCTCCCAATTGGTCCTCATTTCTGAAGAGAATGACTTCTGTTTCATCACTTCAATTGCTATTTCCTGGATGCGTGCAAGGTTGAAAGCATGAATAAGGGTCTCTGGTTTTGGCTTGCGGATTACACGTCTAATTTCTTCCTTGAGTCCACTCAGGAAACTGGAAATGAAATAATCTTCTGTAAGCCCATAATCCATTGTCATCAACAAGTCTCTCAACTCAGCAAATTTCTCTTGATACTCCGCGACAGAGCCCGTCTGTTTCAGATTATGAAATTCTCCAATGATGTCTCGCCCCAGTTCTAAGTTATCAGACACTTCTCGAGTTGATATGCCACAAGCATCCATCTTCTTCCCCTTGTTCATTAGACCCTTCATACCACATGATATTTCTTCAAGTTGCATAGACATATTTTTGACAACCCCAAGGATACTGTCGAACCTATTGGTGAGAGCTTCAATGTTGGCATCATCTTGTTGCATTGAGGCAACGTCTGTTTCAGAATCTTCATCAGTTACTACTGCAAACCCTATATGATGAGCTTCATTTGTTACGGTTTCATGCCTCTTGTTTCTCGCCCCTTTACCCATGGAGTATTGGCAATCTGCGGCAGATAGAGAGCAAAAAAGAGATAAGAACAAAACAAAAGGAAACTATGATTAAAGAGAGAAGTGAAGAAAGGACAATTCGCTGAGTAATCTACATGCACAAATCTCAAACTCCAAATGCAACCTACAACTAATCAAAGGCTCTTGCAACATTAGACAAGCAAAAATCAGGAGTTCATAACAAATAAAGGTTCTATTCAATCAGTCCCGGGCCAATTAATCAACTCTTTAGCTCTAAGATAAGCTGCCTTTGCTTGGAAAAAAAAAAAAAGACAAGCTGCTTTCCATAAAATCATTTTCCCTTAATTTTTTTTTACTCCGATTTCTTACCTGTTTGTAACGAAACATCCAAAACCCAACACAAAAGAACCTTGTGCGTGCTATATTTACTTCATCCCTTTATAAGAAGAGACACGTGATACTCCCTGTATAAGAATAATAACTAATCGTTCTCAACAGCTTGCCCACTGCTAAATTGTCACTAAACAAAAATCAACTTCAAGGGGCTTGGCTTCGTCCTATATGAGAGAATCATATGGCTCAAAATGCACAACGAGGGCATTATTCAACATTCGTTACAAAAATTTAAAAAAACCCTCCTTTAGTGTCTTACTCTAATGAAACACTGCAAGAGAACACGATCTCATGAAACACTGCTACCACAAGAACATCAGACTAATCAGACAAATACTCGATCCCTGACCCAAAGACGCGAATACACAAAATCATACTTACCAGTCAGCAGTCACGTAATACACCATGACAACTAGAAGGAAAAGCAACAAAAATCCAGACTCCAGATGATGAATAAGGAAATCAAACTACAAGTATGCAATTGCCAAACAAACATCTATCTGAAACATTTAATCCAACAGACTGCACAGATTTCAAAATGGGTCTGCCAGAAATGCCAACCTCAAATGATATCATTTCCAGATGTCTCAAAAAGGTCAGGATCGCATGATAAAACTGATATAGGAAATCATTAGGAATTGAAAAGTACCAGAGACCAGGGAAAGGGAAACGTACCGGAATTCTTGGCCGGAGAGTTACGGAAGGAAACTGAGAGTTATTTGATTTGAGATGCTATGCAAATTTGCTGTGATCCTTTCCTTGCCTAATGCCTACTTTATATACAACTCAATTTTAAAAATAATTATTATAGTGACATGATGTATATGAGATATAAAAAAATAAGTGTGTTGGAGAATGAAATGAAACAAAAATTCAAATGAGATGACATTCACATTGAAATTGAAAACTGAAGACTTATTTCAAATAATTATTTGGAATACTTACTGTAGCATTTTTTGTGATATGATGTATATGAGATAAAAAGGTGATTAAGAATATAAAAAGATGGATTGAAAAATATGTTTATGAAAAATTTGCTATCCACGTCTGTAACGAACTTTCCCTCCAAAGTTATGAGTGGGAGTAGAATGAGTAGGAGTGCAGAAAGTATCTTGGGATAAGTAGGGCGTAAAATCGGAATTTGGGGTAGAAAAATGGAAAATATTAGCTAAACCATGTATGCCGCGTGAAAACACGCACACTAATATTGGATCAAGATTCAAGAGTCGCCAAATAATGCGGTGGATTATCCTTGTTTAGAAATAGGGATAATTGCAAAAACCTCCCCTGAGGTTTCTGAGTTATGCAATTATCCCTTAGAAATACTAAACAATACCATACTAGTATTATTTGGCATTAAGTAATTAGTACTAGTGCACAATATGGCATGCCATTGTTACGTGCGTGATGGACTTAATACCTTCTCCTTCTCATGGAGGTGGCTGCAGAATATATGTAATAGATTGCAATTGTAATTCATGGGTGTATTTGGATATACAATTTATTTTAAATATTATTTTACTTATATTATAAACACATTTTAACAACATTTTTATAATTTTAATTAATTTTTTATTTCACATATATCATATTACAAAAGTGTTATAGTTGTTATTTGAAATAATCTCATATTCAAACCCTCCAATTGTAATGTGGGTGAAAAAAATATTAAGAATAATTTTAGAAACCTCCCTTGACATTTTGGATAATTTCATTGAGCTCTCTCGAAATTTCAAAAATTACACTTACCTTCCTTGTTCACCTAAAATGACAATACTAGTATTAACATTTTAATAAAGCTCCCTTTTTGAATATGCATATATTAAGAATGGAATTTATAATTATTTTTCCCTTTTCCTTTTCTCTCTTTATTCCTCCTTTTTTATATTTTTGCCAATAAAATTATTGAACTATAAACATTGACCCTAAATGTTAAACTAATGACATTTTTCGAGAACTTTTAATGTGGTCCAATTTTTATTTGTTAATCTTTTTTTTTTTTTTGTATCAAAAGAAACGCTAACTAAGAGTCCCAAAACTACCATTAAACTATGACAGTTTCACTTATTCAAAAATCAACAAATTCTAAAAGCATTATGATGATAGTTTCTTCTCCATTTTAGAAAAATATGGATCCCCTATAAAGCACCATTAAAAGTAGTTTATCATAATTGATAGACAATTGCTTATCAAATAATAAATTTGGTATTGAAAACTTGACAATTTTTTTCTTTTACTTGTTCTAAATATATTATTATTGCTATAGAAAGTAATTGAAATTTACAAGGTGAGGGTTTTTCGGGATATTCCTTTAAATTTTAGACCAAGTCCAAGGTTTGGCCGTCAAAGTGTCGAATTAGAGGAGGTAGGTGTAATTTTTGAAATCTCAAGAGAGCTCAATATAATTGTCAAATACCTTGAGGGAGGTTTATGAAATTATCCCAAAACATTATTGTTTACAATGAAAACTTAATATCAAATGTCTGAGATTTATGTGGGGTTATACAGACATTGCATTTTTTAACTTGTTCCGTTGCCCGAATGCTAGATTTTAAAAATCAAGAATAATTATCGGCAGCAACTGTTCTTGCCTTTGGTAGGTAAGAAGGGTCCCAAACTTTTGTTTTAGTGGCCAAATTTGGTCTAAAAGTTGATGTGAACCATATAGTACTCTTTTGTCCAAAAAAAAAAAAAACACTACATAGTACTCTTTACAAGGTCACAAGACTTTGTTTGTGATACATTGAACGTGCTGAAAAGGTCACATTGAACAATTGACAATTGATTTTACTCATGCCCCATGAAGATAAGGGGAGATGCACTAAATCAGCGTGATAACATTTCCCAGAAATCATAAAAATGCCAAGATGAAGTGAAACTAATTTTTATAAACGAATTTGAATTTATGCAATATGTAAAATAAGAGTTAATATGAATCAGAAAGGGGTTAAATCCGCACCTCTCCATCTTAAATTCATGCTTGGTACAATTTTTAATATTTATGGTGCAGGTTATTAATACTTATGATACAAATCTCTAATGCATGAGTAGCGTGAATTTAGATTGTCAGGGTGTCAATCGTGCATGTTGCTTAAAATAAAGTTTTTACATAACATGCCTATTTATATGAATGATAAGCAACTCGATTCTTCTTAAGTAAGGTCTTGAATTCGAATCTTGCAAATAAAGGAATAGGCGCTGGGAAAGTTTACCCCCTTATGAGATCAAATCGGGCTCGATTCTAGATTAGTTGGGATCCAAAGTGGCTACTAGATACCGGGGACTAATATAGCTAGCTAGCAACTGAAGGGATCTTTTAGTTGTAAAGGCTAAATAAGGGATTTAGTTGTAAAACTAAGGAATCTTTATAGAGGAGGTTCTAGGAATGGTATCGAATTGCTAATTAGACCTTTTATTTCCTCTCAGATTCTCACCCTTTTGTCTATCTTTCAAAATTTTTCCCCTTGTTTTTTTGCAGTTGTTTTGATTATGGCTCCATTTTTGCCTCCCTTTACAATCACAACAAGAAATATGCTACTAATTAATATGGAGGGACGATGTGGAAAGTCTTGCTTTAATGGCTGTGCCTTTTGCTTTCCCCCTTTCTTCTGTCATTGATGTAGTTATCAATTGGTACTACGGTCCTACATTCATGCAATTGTCAAGTGGAACAATGGTTAGTAAATTCATTCAATTATATGCCAAGTGTAAAACATTTATAGGGTGTTTGGTTCTTTATAAGAATTACAATTGTACGAAAATTGCAATCTTGCTTGATACAAATGTATCTTTACTTGACTGGATGCAATCCTGATTTTGATTCAGTTCGAGTAAGCAAAGAAAACCTTAACAAAGTGATGGTGAATTATCAAAGATACAAGATATGGATCATAATTTGACAGTAATTTTTGGTTGCCAATTTTTTATGGTTCGGTTGATATACTTTGCAGAAGCATGTACAAATCTGAACAGATTTTCTAATTTTGTCATCAGGTTAATTAATGTGCTTCAGAAATATACTTCTTGTTTGGGTACAAAATTCAAAAACACAAAATTGTGCAGAGATCTTTCTTTCCGGAGATTGGACATCAAATAAGAGCACAAAGGTCACGGAGAATTACTGAATTACTTGATAGGAGTATGTATTCTTTTTCACTTTCAGAGTCTTAAACTCTTTCTCACAAAGAAATCACAAATGGACAATGAATAAAAATTCCAAAAAAAAGAGCTTCGTACTTGTAACTTTATATCACTGACACTGATCTAGTATGGCTTCAGAAGAATATAAAACAATGTTAGAAAAGCTTGTGATAGCCTAAATATTTCCAACTCCTAAACTCCACTTCGCAATTCATAGTCAGATTCGTCTTCAGGATAAGCGGATTACAATTCATAGTTAGATTCATCTTCTGGATCAGCAGAGCTTCCAGCACTGCTTTCATTTGCCTTCCTTATGATAGGATTGAATGCAGCTTCTAACCCTGCCATCTTCTCATCATAGTCTAACTTCTCTACATTTTGGTTGTCATCCAACCATTCAAGTGCATCCTTCAGGGCTGTCTCAATGCTCTCTTTGTCATCAGAATCAATTTTGCCCGCGAGCTTCTCATCATCCCTGATGGAGCTCTTCGTGTTGTAAATGTAGCTCTCGAGTTTGTTTCTAGAATCAATCTTCTCTCTCTGCTCCTTGTCGTCACCTGCAAACTCTTCTGCCTCCTTTACCATCCTATCAATTTCCTCCGCCGTTAGACGCCCTTTCTCGTTCGTGATGGTAATTGAGTTCGACTTCTTTGCTGCCTTGTCCATGGCAGTCACCTGTAAGATACCATTCGCGTCCACCCCAAATGTGACCTCAATTTGGGGCACGCCCCTACAACCACATGATAAGCATTGTTTAGGAAGTTCATCTTAAAGGTTGAAGAAGAATTAATTGATTGTCTTAGAGATTGTGTTACCTAGGAGCAGGAGGAATACCAGACAAGTCGAATTTTCCTAGCTCGTGACAATCTTTCGTTAGGCTCCTTCCACCTTGATAAACCTACAAGTTTCCAGCAAGAAATTGGGTTTTGTACTAGTGCCAGTTAAAAGAGGATTAAAGATCTCTTCCCACTAACAATGTAACAAAGTTATCAGCATGTGATCATACCTTGATTGAAACTGTAGTTTGCTGGTCTTGATAAGTTGTGAAGACCTGAGACTTCTTGATTGGGATGCCACTGTTTCTTGGAATCAATTTTCTCATAACTCCACCAACGGTCTCGAGCCCCAGACTCAAGGGAGTTACATCAATGACAAGTACATCTGTCCTCGTTTTTGTAGGTAACAACGGTCCCAAACTTTTATAATGGCCAAATTTGGTCTAAAATTTGTCGTGAACTATATTAGTACTTTGACGTGAACTATATTAGTACTCGTTACGATGTCGTAAGACTTTATCATACACATTGAACATTCACCAACAGGGGTTGGTCCGAGTGGTAAGCGGCTCGGATTCGCTTAAGCAGGTCTCGTGTTTGAGTTCTAGTGTACGCAGACACCCCTGTTGGGAGACTCACCCACTATAGCCAGGTGCGCGACGCGGGTCGGGTCCGAATTAGTTGGGGTAAAAGCTTCGGATACCGGGCGGGCAACCAAAAAAAAAAATACACATTGAACATTTTGAAAATGTCATCTTGAACAATTTGACAATTTATTTTACCTATGCTCCATGAAAATCAGGGTAGATTTACTAAATCAATGTGAGAACATTTCCCAGAAACCCTAAGGATGTCATATTGAAGTGAAACTAATCTTTATTTCCAAAATTTGGGTAGACTTGATTTTCAAATATCCAATCATCCAGATTGTGGCACACTAGTTGGTGAGATGATGTGGCATAATATGAATTATTGGATTTTTGAAAACCAAAACTAACCCAGTGTTAACGTTATATATAAATGAATTTGAATTTATGTAATATTTAAAACAAGAGTCAATACAAAACAAGGGAGACACTAAATTTATACCTCTTCGTCTTAAATTCAATCTTGGTACAATCTCTAATACTTATGGCGCAAGTTATCGAAACTTATGGTACAAGTTTTTAATGCAATAGGAGTGTGGGTTTAAGTTGTTAAGGTGTCAATCTAACATGTTCCTTAAAATAAAATTTTACATGACACGCCCATTGACCGAATGGTAACGAACTCGATTCTTCTCAAATAAGGTCTTAAATTCGAATTTTGTAAATAAAGAGATAGGCATTGGGAGAGGTTGCCGTCTCATGGAGTTTGACCCGACTTGACTGTGGACAAGTCGAGTCCAATGTGGCTAGCAATTACCGGGGGTTAATAGAGTTAGCTAGCATTTAGACCTTTATTGCATAGAGGTAACTGAAGGGATCTTTTAGTTGCAGTGGCTAAATAAGGGACTTAGTTGTACAATTTTCTTAGGAATCTTTGGAGAGGAGGTCCTAGGAATGGTATCAAATTGCTAACGAGAACTTCTGTTTCTTTCCTCTCATATTCTCACCCTTTTCTCCATCTTCTAGGCTTGCTCTTTTTTTTTTTTTTTTTTTTTTTGCAATGATAACAATTGTATAATCTAATTTATCCTAATTTAGAGGGGAGGGGGAGTCTAAGAAGGCTTGCGTATTAAGTAGGACTGTGCATCGAAATCGAATTCGGTAAATCGAAAGTTTGAAATCGAAATTTTTCGAAATTTTGGTCTAATTTTTCCCGACCGAATTCGATTTCGAAATGGCAAGTTCCGATTTCGAATTCACACCGAATTGAATTCGGAATTCGGTGGCTTCCGAATTCACCAAATTCAAACCTGTGCATATTTCTTTTTCTTCTCAGGCAGAACAAAACAAAAACGATGCCTGCAGAAACTAAAATCTACTAGTACCATATTATACGTACGTGTCCTTAACTTCCCATTCATTCAGGGTCGTCAACTTCATACAGCTGAGAACCCATGTCCTAATTTTGTTAATAGCTCATTGCCCCTTCCGCCTCCATTTCTGCACAAGCTGCCACCATGCTCTCCATTTCCCCTATACAGCCCACCTCCTCTCAATCCACAGCCCATTCCACCCTCCTCCGTCAGCTTCCCCTCTCCCGTTCCCACCATTTGCATCACCGCCGCAGCAGATTTTGTTTCCATTTACTCCAGCTCTCCCGCCGCCGCCACCCCTCGGCCCTTCTCATCTGTGCCCTCGACGCAGCTCAACCTTACGATTACGAAACCCGACTCTCCCGCCGCTTCTCTCAGTCCACAGCGCTCAAGATTGCCATCATTGGGTTCGGTGGAGAGGGAGGAAGGAAGGTGAGAGAGAGACGAGGAAGAGGCGGCAGAACACAGATTAGGATTTTTGCAATTTCAATTGTTAGATGTTAGGTTAGTATTATTGTTATTACTTATTATTTATTAACTATTTAACCTATTATGTTATATAATATGTATTATATATATTATTATATTATATATAAATATTATTATTCGAATTCGAAATAAAAGTTTCGATTTCGAATTCCGATTTCGAATTGGGAATTCGAAATCGGTAATTTCGATTTCAAAAACTATAATTTCGAATTCGATCCGATTTCGACTAATTCGAAATCGGAATTACCGAATTCCATTCCGAATTACCGAAATTCCGATTTCGAATTTCCGAATTTAATTCGAATTCGATATCGAAATCGGAATTTTTCGACTTTGCACACCCCTAGTATTAAGGGTTAGGAGGTGTGCAGATCCGACTAAATTAAGTGAGTGCTGCAGGTGAGATTGGCCGCTGAGCCAAACAGTGGTTTTTTTTTTCCCCCTTTTCCTTTTGCAGTTGTTTTGATTATAGCTCCATTTTCGCCTCCCTTTACACAAGACTCAAGAGACGTACAAATATAGCGGGGTGATGTGGAAAGTCTTGCTTATTAATAATTGTGCCTTTTAATAAATTCATGCAATTATATACCAAGTGTAAAACATTTGTCAGAACTGCAGTTGTATGACAGTGGCAAGGCAATCTTGTTGGAAACAAATGTATCTTTACTTAGACTGGATGCAATTCTGATTTGAGTCAACTAGAGAAGCAAAGACAACCTTTACAAAGAGTTCTCCCTTTACAAAATACTAGTGCTAATGAACAGCGGTTTGCCCTTCCTATCCCAGCGCAGCATAACTGACAAAAATGGTAGGAAGAATGCAGCTGTACATAAACACCGGAGAGTAGGATTATCACAAAGTAATACTTGTCTGTCATCAAACCTCCTCAATCTCTATTAAACCAAAAAAAAAAAAAGAAAAAAGGATTAAACAGAACATTTTCTATTACTACTAACCATTTGTTTAGCACAGGTGCTGCGTTAGTCAATCATTCTTCTCCAATTACTTCCCTTTGTTCATCTTAGGCTTAGCTGATCCTGTTTTATCTAGCAACACTATTTCCTTTCCACCCTTCAGCAGGACAATCCTATCTGCAGTGAACGTCAAAGGGTAATTATTTGAGACCCAGTCCCCGCCTAACACCATGTCACATGCTCTTATTTCCACGATTCTCATATCAGTTACGAACTCATGACCTTGCACGGTCCACCTGAAGCTTGGACATCTGAATCTGCTGACTGCTTGGTATAGACCAAATACAAAATTCACAAGCAGCGGTGTGGTCTCCTCCATCTCAAACCCTGCCTGAATTGCTACATCAGTGTCGATGAAGCTATAAGGAACGCCAGTAGATATGATAACTGTTGTGTCCCTTTCTCCTACTGAAACTTTAAACTTGGCAGGGTGGCCTTGATCAATGAAAACATCAACTGATTCACAAGGCAAGATTTGCTCTCGATTAGTCCTCATTTCTGAAGAGATTAACTTCACTTTCATCACTTCAATTGCTATTTCCTGGATGCGTGCAAGGTTGAAAGCATGAATAAGGGTCTCTGGTTTTGGCTTGCAGATTACGTGTCTTATTTCTTCCTTGAGTCCACTCAGGAAACTGGAAATGAAATAATCTTCTGTAAGCCCGTAATTCATTGTCATCAACAAGTCTCTCAACTCAGCAAATTTCTCTTGATACTCCGCGACAGAGCCCGTCTGTTTCAGATTATGAAATTCTCCAATGATGTCTCGCCCCAGTTCTAAGTTATCAGACACTTCTCGAGTTGATATGCCACAAGCATCCATCTTCTTCCCCTTGTTCATTAGACCCTTCATGCCACATGATATTTCTTCAAGTTGCATGGACATATTTTTGACGACCCCAAGGATACTGTCGAACCTATTGGTGAGAGCTTCAATTTTGGCATCAACTTGCTGAATTGAGGCAACCTCTGTTTCAGAATCTTTGTCAGTTACTACTGCAAACCCCATGCGATGAGCCTCATTTGTTACGGTTTCATGCCTCTTGTTTCTCGCCCCTTTACCCATGGAGTATTGGCAATCTGCGGCAGATAGAGAGCAAAAAAGAGATAAGAACAAAACAAAAGGAAACTATGATTAAAGAGAGAAGTGAAGAAAGGACAATTCGCTGAGTAATCTACATACACAAATCTCAAACTCCAGATGCAACCTACAACTAATCAAAGGCTCTTGCAAAATTAGACAAACAAAAATCAGGAGCTCATAACAAATCAAGGTTCTATTCAATCAGTCTCCGGCCAATTAATCAACTCTTTAGCTCTAAGATAAGATGCCTTTGCTCGGAAAAAAAAAAAAAAAGATAAGCTGCTTTCCATAAAATCTTTTTCCCTTAATTTACTCCTATTTCTTACCTGTTTGTAACGAAACATCCAAAACCCAACACAAAAGAATCTGTTGGGAAAGGAGTACCGGTACAGGCACACAATATTAGAGTTAACCCAGGATAAATGTCTCTTTTCCTAAGTACCAGTTAAAACAGGAATAAACCAAATCACCAAGTATTAATACTAGCAGTGCAGTGATAATAAAATGCAAGAAAAATAAAAGACACGTGACACCAAACTTTTTACGTGAAAAACTCAAATTGGAAAAAATCACGGGACCTAGTCCAGTCAAAAATCTCCATTATCACAATAATGGGAATACACAGATCTATCCGAAAAATTCGAATGTCAATAATATCACCAAAATCAACTAAGCAAATCTGCTATAAAATCACCCTCAAAAACTACAACTGTCAAAGAAATGGGTTTAGAAAGATGTTACCAAACGAAAAGAAAATTCGAAATCTGAATCAAAAGATGAGTAGAACTTGACGAGAGGATCGCGTGTGTGAAGTTTCGTCTCAATCGGACTTCAAATCACCTTCCAACCAAGGCCTTGAAGTTATTTCTCTCTCTCTCTCTGCTATTTCTCTCTTCGTCGTTCTTCACCAAAATAAAAGAGTGGCGGCTGACCTTTTTCTAACTTTCTAAAAAGGAAGAAAGCTCCCGCGGCCGCTGCTGCTTGTGTTTATGCTTGAGAAACCCTCAAGCTTTGTTCACTTGCACAAATGGACTGGCGCACACACAAGTCCAACAGAACCCTATGCGTTGCTATATTTACTTCATCACTTTATAAGAAGGGACACATGATACTCCCCGCATAAGAATAATAACTAATCGTTCTCAACAGCTTGCCCACCACTAAATTGTCACTAAACAAAATCAACTTCAAGGGGCTTGGCTACTTCCTATATGAGAGAATCATATGGCTCAAAATGCACAACGAGGGCAGTATTCAACATTCGTTACAAAAATTTTACAAAACCCTCCTTTATTGTTTTACTCAAATGAAACACTGCAACCGCAATAATTTTTTAGCATCAGAGAACACGATCTCATGAAACACTGCTACCACAAGAACATCAGAGTACATGATCTAATCAGACAAATACTCGATCCCTGACCCAAAGAGGCGAATACACAAAATCATACTTAACAGTCAGAAGTCATGTAACACACCATGACAACTAAAACGAAAAGCAACCAAAAAAATTAAAACAAGAATCCAGATTCAGATGATGAATAAGGAAATCAAACCACAAGTATGCAATTGCCAAACAAACATCCAACAGACTGCACAGATTTCAAAATGGGTCTGCCAGAAATGCCTACCTCAAATGATATCATTTCCAGATGTCTCAAAAAGGTCAGGATCACATGATAAAACTGATATGGGAAATCGCTAGGAATTGAAAAGTACCAGAGACCAGGAAAAAGGAAACGTACCGGAACTCTTGGCCGGAGAGATACGGAAGGAAACTGAGAGTTATTTGATTTGAGATGCTATGCAAGTTTGCTGTGATCCTTTCCTTGCCTAATGCCTACTTTATATACAACTCAATTTTAAAAAATAATTATTATAGTACTTTTATGACGTGACGTATATGAGATATAACGAAGATAAGTGTGTCGGAGAATGAAATGAAACAAAAATTCAAATGAGATGACATTGAAATTGAAATCTGAAAAAAAATCACTGTAACGAACTTTCCCTCCAAAGTTATGAGTGGGACTAGAATGAGTAGGAGTGCAGAAAGTATCTTGGGATAAGTAGGGCGTAAAATCGGATTTTGGGGTAGAATATTGGCTAAACCATGTATGCCGCGTGATAACACACTAATATTGGATCAAGATTCAATATGACAGACGTTGCACTTTTTAAACTTGTTCCGTAGCCCGAATGCTAGATTTTAAAAATCAAGAATAATTATCACTAGCAACTGTCCTTGCTGGGTAGTTAAGTCCTCAGATTTACCTCAAGAGTTGTCGGCTTTTGGGGTTAAATTTGAGATTAGGTTGAATTAACTAACTTCAAAAGTCTGAAAAAAAAAAAAAAAAAGAAGACAAAGACGCAAGAGAGGTATCTGGGGTAGTGAGTTCTTCTTTAAGGCCTAGTAGAGGCTGCCGTACTAACTTTCCCGTAGTCCCACATCGTTTCTTTGGGATTGGGTAGTTAAGTCCCCAGGTTTGTCTCAAGAATTACCGGTTTTTGAAGTTAAATTTGGGATTAAGTTTAAGCCTTTGGTAGGTAACAACTAACAAGGGTCCCAAACTTTTGTTTTATGGCCAAATTTGGTCTAAAAGTTGATGTGAACCATATAGTACTCTTTTGTCCAAAAAAAAAAAAAAACACGATATAGTACTCTTTACAAGGTCACAAGACTTTGTTTGTGATCCATTGAACTTGCTGAAAAGGATTGGCAATTGATTTTATCCATGCTCCATGAAGATAAGGGGAGATGCACTAAATCAGCGTGATAACATTTCCCGGAAATCAATTGGTCCTACATTCATGCAATTGTCAAGTGGAACAATGGTTACTAAATTCATTCAATTATTATAGACCAAGTGTACAACATTTATCAGAACCATGTTTGGTTCTTTATCAGAATTAAAATTGTATGTATGAAAATTGCAATCTTGCTTGATACAAATGTAAGCAAAGACAACCTTAACAAAGTAATGACCTTTTATTCATTTGAAAAAAAAAAAAAAACTTGGTAGTAGTTATAAAACCGTGGACAGCATCTGTGTGTAACTCCATGAAGCTCAATTTCCAGACAGAATTGGTGTTGTTTGCAGTAATTTTTGGTTGCCATTTTTTTATGGTTCGGTTGATATTAATCCCTCTGTTGTATGGAGAAAATCTGTACCCATTAGCAAAAATGAAATTTAAAAATATAAAATAAAAATTAATGCCATAATTCTTGATTGCCAATTATATATGAAGGCAAGAATTGAAGAGATGTCACAAAACATGTTAAACTGAATTCCATAACTACCCCTACATTCACAACTATCATCCTCCCAAACAAACCTTCCTTCGTAGTTGTAACTTTATATCACAGACACTGATCTAGTATGCCTTCAGAAGAACATAAAACTTGCGATAGCCAAAATATTTCCAGCTCGTAAACTCCACTTCGCAATTCACAGTCAGATTCGTCTTCTGGATAAGCGGATTACAATTCATAGTTAGATTCATCTTCTGGATCAGCAGAGCTTCCAGCACTGCTTTCATATGCCTTCCTTATGATAGGATTGAATGCAGCTTCTAACTCTGCCATCTTCTCATCATAGTCTAACTTCTCTGCATTTTGGTTGTCATCCAACCATTCAAGTGCATCCTTCAGGGCTGTCTCAATGCTCTCTTTGTCATCAGACTCAATTTTGCCCGCGAGCTTCTCATCATACCTGATGGAGCTCTTCATGCTGTAAATGTAGCTCTCGAGTTTGTTTCTAGAATCAATCTTCTCTCTCAGCTCCTTGTCGTCATCTGCAAACTCTTCTGCCTCCTTTACCATCCTATCAATTTCCTCAGGCGTTAGATGCCCTTTCTCGTTCGTGATGGTAATTGAGTTCGACTTCTTTGCCGCCTTGTCCATGGCAGTCACCTGTAAGATACCATTCGCGTCCACCCCAAATGTGACCTCAATTTGGGGCACGCCCCTGCAACCACATGATAAGCATTGTTTAGGAAGTTCATCTTAAAGGTTGAAGAAGAATTAATTGTTTGTTTGTCTTAGAGATTGTGTTACCTAGGAGCAGGAGGAATGCCAGACAAGTCGAATTTTCCTAGCTCGTGACAATCTTTTGTTAGGCTCCTTTCACCTTGATAAACCTACAAGTTCCCAGCAAGAAATTGGTTTTTGTACTAGTGCCAGTTAAAAGAGGATTAAAGATCTCTTCCCACTAACAATGTAACAAAGTTATCAGCATTTGATCATACCTTGATTGAAACTGTAGTTTGCTGGTCTTGATAAGTTGTGAAGACCTGAGACTTCTTGATTGGGATGCCACTGTTTCTTGGAATCAATTTTCTCATAACTCCACCAACGGTCTCGAGCCCCAGACTCAAGGGAGTTACATCAATGACAAGTACATCTGCGGAAGACAGAATGCAGAACCACATGGACGTCACATTTAAAGTCATTCCCCAAATTAAACCGATCAAAGTTGAACAAATTGCTATATGAAAATCACATACCCTTAGTTTCTTCGCCGCCATGACCACCAAGGATTGCACCTTGAACTGCTGCCCCATGAGCTACGGCCTCATCTGGATTGATCCCCCTGCTTGGTTCTTTTCCATCAAAGAACTCCTTCAACAGCTGCTGCACCTTAGGAATCCGAGTGCTCCCTCCAACCAACACAATTTCATCAATGGCGCTCTTCTCCAAGCCTGCATCCTTCAAGGCCTGCTTCACTGGTGCCATGGTCTTTTTGAATAGATCCATGTTCAATTCTTCAAACCTTGCTCTCGTCAGTGGCTCAGAAAAGTCAGTTCCATCAAACAGTGACTCGATCTCAACGCGCACTTGGTGCTGGTTACTCAAGGCCCTCTTAGCTCTCTCACACTCCTTCCTGAGCTTCCCAAGAGCCTTCTTATCATTGCTGATATCTTTGTTGTATTTCTTCTTAATCAATTTTACAAAATGGTCCATCACTCTCTGATCAAAATCTTCTCCTCCCAAGTGAGTGTTGCCATTGGTGGAAAGAACCTCAAAAACACCTCCATCAAGGGCCAATATACTAACATCAAAAGTACCACCACCAAGATCAAAAACTAGAATATTCCTCTCTTTTTGTTGCTTGTCAAGACCATAAGCAATTGCAGCTGCTGTCGGCTCATTAATAATCCGAACAACGTTCAGCCCTGCAATAGTGCCAGCATCTTTGGTAGCTTGCCTTTGTGCATCATTGAAATAAGCTGCAGATGCAAATACACAATCAGAAATCAGATGCAAAAAACCAACCTCAACTAGTTATTCTAATTTAACATCGATGGTTTTGATTAAAAGCAGGGCAAGATTTTAACTATCTTAAATAGACAATGTACCTGGAACAGTAACAACTGCATTCTTAACTTCTTTTCCCAAATAAGACTCAGCTGTTTGCTTCATCCTTTGCAGCACCATAGCACTGACTTCCTCTGGACTTAACAACTTCATCTCACCGTTCTTCATCTTGACATCAATATAAGGTTTCCCAACTTTGTTGACAACCTTATAAGGCAAGAGCTTCATGTCTCTTTGAACCTCAGGATCATTGAACTTTCTTCCGATAAACCTTTTAACATCAAAGACGGTGGATTCGGGGTTAAGGGCTGCCTGATTCTTCGCAGCCTCTCCAATCAATCTCTCAGTATCTGTGAATGCTACCCATGATGGGGTGATTCTGTTTCCTTGGTCGTTGGCTATGATCTCAACGTTACCGTTTCGATACACCCCCACACAGGAGTACGTAGTCCCCAGGTCAATGCCTATCACTGTCCCAAGATTTTGCTTCTGACTGTCCTCTGCAGCTAATGTTACCCCTGCCAAGAATTCTTCACAATTTGTCAAAAAAAAAAAAGAAGAAAGTTAGAGACTTCCCTCGTATATTTGCCTAATTCAAGTAAAACAAGTTGTAGAACTATTCAAGCTGGATTGTTCGATATTGACAAGTACTACAGATAACATTCTGATGCAAAATTCTAATTCAAAAGTATAATTAATCATCTGAAATTTTCCTAGTTAGCCAAGCAATCAAACAGGTGAAAATTCCTGTTCCAAATTAGCATAAAGTAATTGGAATATTAAAGTTGTTACACCATGCATGCAATCTTCTCTTCTTTCTATGCACAATTCATAAATTTATTGGTGGTCTCCGGAAACATTATTGTTAACATACATGCAGATGCAGGAAAACGAAAGTTCGGAAAAATATAAGAAGTCGTCCAAGAAAATTGAGTATAGAGTATTATATTAACGAATTGATGATGCTTAGAAACAAATAAGTACTATTTACAACTACGAATGAGTACCTGAAACGAAGAGGAGAAGAAGCCAAAAAGCTTTATTCTTCACGGAAGAAGAACTAGCCATTGTTGTGCTGTGTATATATCTTAGGAATAGAGAGATATGAATCAGGAATATTGAAACTTATATGTATTGGTATCTGAAGGCTTGGGGATATATGGGACGATGCCTATGGGGGTGCTGGTGGGATGTGTATTTATAGCTTTGCATTGCGAGAAAAGGGTCAACATAGTATCCAAATTCTGTCGACTGTCGAGTTCTTGAATTGGTTGGGAACTTGGGATGATGCAATGTTTCAAAAAGAACCAATTTCATTGGTTCAAACACTTTCCACAACGTCACTTTGTGTCAAAACTTAGGAGGGAGGGATTGCATTCCTTTTCTGATCGCTACAACTCCGTCTATTTTTATTTTTCCTTTTTTTTTTAATTTCATTCTATATTTGTCTTCTTCGAGTGTGATCGGAATCATCCTTTATCCTCAAAAAAAGAAAAGAAAATAAAAAGATTGAAAATTTGAGTTTTCAATTTAACTTAAAAATAATTTCAACAAGAAAAAGGACTGAGACCTAAAAAAAAAGGGTGAAGGTAGAGGGATAGTTTCCGATTTAACTTCTTAAATTG